GGGGGGGGGGAGAGAAAGAGATGAACGGGTTTGTTCAATACTTGCATTCACTTTGATACTGAAAACGTGCAGTCTCGAACGCACATAGCGAAAACATACAATAGCGTAATAGGTACATAACAATAACATAAATAACGAAATACGTACACAGCAAACAGATTTTACATCCAGACTTTTTTCTTATAAATGTTTTAAAAACACATATCGAAATTCGTACTTTACGAAAAGATGTCCACGTTCGTCCGACTTTGCTAAGAAGTGTGTGCCACACTAAAATAGTTAAACATTATTGATTGTTCGTGTGCTGAACTCACCCAGTGCTTCGGGAGCTCCTTCTGTTTTAACGCATTGTCCCTTGGAACAGACCTGGGAACAAAGAGAAGAGACGGTTTTTATGGTTTTTCATTTAAAAGACTGGTATCTCATATTCATGGGTAGTTTACAGGTACTCTGGTGTGGTTTGCACCTTCTTTCCTAGTCCTATCAAACATCTATCGTCTTTATCTCTTCTTTTTTCGTATGTTACTCTCTACATGCAGTAAGTAACACCTCTAATCTATCTGGGTTGGCCCTGCCTGTCAGGGCCAAAGCCCGTCTCCTAAATGATTTTAATTAATTGAATCAGTGGGAGCGTAAAAACACCTACTTTAAAAACAAAACCAAAATTACCATAGTGTCTCCACAGAGGGGAACCCATCGGAAACGATGTGACTGACGCACTTTGTCAAAGCCTGTCTCCTAAATGATCTACATTGGGTCAATTTTGGGAAGGGGGGTGGGGGGTAAAACCACCAACATTAAAAAAAAGTAAAAAATTACCATGGAGTCTCCACAGAGGAAGCCGTCAGAAGCGATGTGACTGACACACTGGGAGCTGTTGCGGGTTTCCGAGCACCAGAAGGAAGAACACATCTTGTGGTAGTCGCTGCTGTTGCTGTAGAAGTCCTGGCGTGAGACAGACAGAGAATTCAAGGAAGGCGTTATGTAGGGAGTTGAGGTACGTAGTCTAACTTTTAAGGTGAGAATCTGAATCATACATTGAAAACGTCCAGCTTATTATTGACGGCAAGAATAACTTAAGAATAACTTTCTCTCTTCAAAAAAGTACACAGATACTAGATATCGTACGGCAGATTCCTCTGTCTGTCTTCTCTCTCTCTCTCTCTCTCTCTCTCTCTCTCT